GTCTGGCTGAGGCCTCGCTGCCCTTCCTCAGCCTCTTCTGCCTGGAGCCGCCTTCCAGAGGACTCGAGGAGACCCTTCTCCCCCTCCCCAGGCTCCTCGCTGGCGTGTGGGCGCTGCTGTCACAGCCCTGGGGCCGCTCCCTCGTCCTTCCCCGAGGCCGAGTCCTGCAGCGCCTGGATGTGCTGAGGCTGCAGAACATAACTCCAAATGGCAAAGGGAAGACTTTTTATAGCTCCCCAACTCCAGTCGTGCACGGCGTGTCACAGCAAGAGCCTTGTGCTGTCCCCTCCCCCAGCTGAGACTCGGGACCTCCAGCAAACCCTGGAGGGTCTGCAGGGACTCGGGCGCTGTCAGCAGCAGGGAGCAGCAGGAAAACACCCACACGAGGAGGGAGGCACAACGCCCAGCAGAGGAGCCAACAGCTAACTGCAACGCCCAAAACACCATTTCAGACCCTGGTGCAGCTCCACGGGGGCCCTGGCAAGAGCTTGGTGAGCCAAGGTGAGCGGCTGCCACGTGTGGAGGGAGGAGAGATCTCAGGAGAGCTCCCCTCTAAGCTTCACGTCCAAGCACTGGAGCTGGGATTCCTGAAGAACCTCGAGACAAAGGGAACTAGAGGTTGTGCCAGCCCTGCAGGAACACGCTGGACTTCCTTTATCCTCCCTCCCAGCTCAGTGAAGTGCCTGGCTGGAGGAGGCCGATGCTGGGACCTCGGTACAATAGCTCTGCTGAATTTAAAGGTCGTAGGGTGCCTGGTGAGAAAGTGCAGCTAATAAAAGGCACAGAAACAACTGCAGTGCCAGCAGATTAAATTCCCCCAGCAAGAAGCTGAGCAGAAGGCTCCGAGTCCTGGAAAGGTCACTGGGGACAAGCTGCATTTCAAAGACAGACAAGTCCAGGGAGGGCAGTTGGGAAGAGGTGACTCAGGGGAAGCCAGGGGAGGGGAGACACGGCGGGGTCCCGGCCCCCAGCAGGAGAGTTCCAGTCCTGTCCCTCGGCCCTCCCACAGCCAAACTTTTCCCGTTGGAAGCGCTGCTGCGAGGCAGCAGGAGGGGCGCTGTGCTAGCCCCTGGCACAGCAGTGACCTGAGCCCCCTTCCTGCCGTTTCGGGGCCGGCACACACGGGTGCAGAGCCAGGAGGGAGCTGACGGGGGCTCTGTTCTCAGCGAGGCTCCAGCCCGAAGACAAGGACGCGGCAGAGCCAGGGGTGCGTCTCCTCTCTCCTCTCCAGCTTTATTATCATTTGAAAGGTTCATGAAGTACACTGCTAGTCAGGGACCCAGCGGCACCAGGACCTGGAGGGGGGGTGGGCAGCGAGGCCTGCAGCAGCTCCGGGCTCTGCCAGCCCAGGCAGGGGTCAGTGAACCCCTGGACACGCTGGCTGAGCACACAGGAGTGCAGTGAGGCAGCTTCAGGGGGCACGTGGCACCCCGCTGGCCAAGGGGCGAGGTTCAGAGGCACAGCACGAGGCCTGGGACCTCTGTCCTCTGCTGGGATGCTGGAGGTCTCCTTGTGCCTCGTGTAGATCCCCTCCAGGGCTGCCCCTTGCACTAGTGGGCAGTTTCCAGCAGCCTCACAGGAGGGGCAGCAGGGGAGGAAGTGTGGAACCTGCTCTCTCAGCTCCTGGGAGGCCACGTGTCAGAGCAGGGGCAGGGCTGGGGCACAGCCTGGGGCAAAAAGCTGCTGTGGATCCTCCCCCCTGAAAGCAGCCTGACCCTGCTGCTGTGTCAGGTCCTCTGCCAATGGCCACAACGCTCCTCCAGCTGCTCAGAAAGACTTTGGGGCAGTTGGTCCCTGCATTGCCCGAGCCAGCCAGAGGACAAATTGCTGTGAGGGAAAGGGGCTGTGGGGGCCAGTCGGGGGGCGTGGAACTCGCCCAGGCACGTCTGTGACAACAGGAGAGTTCCCCGGGTGGGGGCGTTCGACCAGCAGAGCAAAAAGGAAACGAATCTACATCAACAAGCTGTGAAGTCTGAGGCTGGGGCTGCCCAAAGCCCCTGGGGGCACGGCAGCGGGGCCGCTTTTCTGTGCTGATGCTTCTTAGAAAGAAGAGAGAGTCTCAGCCCCTCTGACAGTCCTGAGGAGCTTCCCTCACCCCGGCGGGGCCGGGCAGGGAGCTGTGCCCCCTCCACCAGACAGTTCAGCCAAAAAGCAACAGCAGGAAGCAGGAAAGGAGCAGGATGGTGCCAAAAGGCCCCAAGGGGCTAAGAGCAAAGGGTGTCCTGCCAGGCAGCACCTCCTGCACTGCCCCTATCTATCCAGGTGACCCATCAGAGCCCCTCTGAGAACAGAATCCATGGTGGGAAGAGAAAAATGAGAAGAGGAAGACATTCAGCCCTGCTTGGGGCAGACCCTAGACAGCAGCAGAAGCTAATCGAGCCCTTCAGGGAGAGAGGCAGATCAGCAGG